CAGGGGGGGAATCAGATAGTTCGTTAAATTAAAAAAAAAAAAAAACACTAGTTTTAAAGAAGGTTGACTTCCATGAGTAAAGTCATCACCTTCCACCCAACCCCTGCACCCCCCTTTAAACAAAACGCTGATACATATATGTAGTCCAGGCTTTTATTTTGGAATAGGGTGCAGTTGTCCTTGGTGCTAGATCACACGGAAGAAGCAGTGGGTGGAGAGTTTGCTGATGCAAGTAGCTGTGGGTAGATACAGCTTTCAGAGCACTGCTTTTATTTGTACCAGGATCCCTGACAAACATGACTACTGGGAAAAGGTAGGCTCTTCCAATACAGTCTGAGATTTTACTGTTTAGGAAATAAATAAAATGTGTAAATATTTAAGATTTTATTTGCTTTGATAACTAAATATTGTGGCTGAAACTTGGGAAAATAATTGCCATGAATATTTGCATTGATGCAGGGAAAACTGTGAAACCTACCGATGCGTTCATGTTAACCTTTGAGGCCTAGAGAGGAAGTAGGTACAGTAAAACGAGTTTGCGGTGTTTTCCTCAGCCTCTGGATTCCATGTACTTTTAATTTCTTTCTGCTCTTGTACTCATGGTATGTGGATTAGGATCATAAGTTACTTTACAATTGCAATACATTTGTCAGTAAGAACAAGCTGTCCTGAAAGAAGTCTAGTGGCTAGAAATGCCAGGGTTTTAGCAGCGGGTGGAGGAAGACACAGAATTACAGCAGTGACGGGTGCTGCCTTCCGTCTTGAGAATCATTTTATACAATTTTTCTTCCCTTTTAAAGATTTGCATTTTAAAAATGCAAAAGTGGAACCGAAAAACTACAAAAGCAGTGTTGTTTTCTAAAAACCTTGTTGATTAGTCTTTAGTGCTCACAGGGAGGTTGTACCTATGCCTTGCCTGCTGCAATGCTTTTAAAAGAGCTCCCTGCGCACCGGGTGTGTGATGGAAGGAGCGTGGGTTGGTATGATGGGACAGCCTGCGCCGCTGTCTTGCTTTCCCTTGGGATGCTCTTCCTGGCAGGCTGTGAGTTGTTGTCTCTGAAGGCTGTTTCCACTCCCTGCAACGGAAACAAGGTATAATAACAGAGACTCTGCCACTAAACAGGTACGACAGAGAGCAGATTGGCTGTGTGTGTGGTTTGTAGGGGATTGTGGAGGTGTGTGTATTTATCTCCTTAAACTAAATTTGGTTCAGTTTGCAGAAAATGTTCATACTGGACGATGAGCATTTCTGCTTGTGAGTTATATCTTCATATTGGGAATTTAAAGCATGGAGGGATTTATTTCTTTTCATTTCCTCCCTCATGGCATTCTGTATTCAGGGGAAGCTGCTGTGGGAAATCAACTCCTGGCCAAGAGGGTTCAGCCACTCGTGTCTGGAGTGGCCTCTTTCGGAGCCCTTCGTTTGACAATTGAAAGTGCGCTGCTTAAAGCATTTGTCTTAAGTTGTCGTATTTGTTATTATTTTTTTTTAAACATTTTTATTGATTATTTTATAGAGAGGAAGAGATGGATAGAGAGTTAAAAACATCGATGAAAGAGAATCATCGATCAGCTGCCTCTTGCACCCCCCCCACCACTGGGGATGTGCCCGCAACCAAGGTACATGCCCTTAACCAGAATCGAACCTGGGACCTTTCAGTCCACAGGCAGACGCTCTATCCACTGAGTCGAACCTGTTTCGGCTGTTATTATTTTTTAAAACAGGGCAAAGTGATTATGGAAGTCAACCAATGTATTAAACATCATGGAGAGAGCCCATGGATCTGAATAAAAACTTTTTCACTTGATAATTCCTTTCAAATTGTCACTTTGAAATACAAGCTTAGAAGCAGCATTGGTAACTTTTACCTTAAGTAGCTGCAAATGCAGTAGGAAACAAGGTTTAAAAGCTGCTTTTTGCAGTCCTGGCATATTGAATTTTTCTCTATCAAGTCATGATTAACAAAGACCATTAACTATCTGCAAAATACAATGCCAAGGGTTCTACCACAGTTGAGTGTAGAATATTTTAGGATTTCCAAAGCACTTTCTTGAATGCCTTTTGCTTGTCTTTGTTTTATGACCCTCGCAGTCGCTCCTGAGGAGTGGGCAGGGCAGCTTTCACACATGGGCACAGAGCTTCAGGTTTTCTCTGGTTGCGTTGGTGCTGGACAGAGAGGGCCCTGGGCCTTGTCGTCTGATCCTTTCAGCAAGCCCGTGGGCAAGCTCCGTGCTCCCTCTCTGCTGCCGGGATGAAGCCTGGCTTTGTTTCTGACACTGTACCATTTTCAGTCGCTGCCTTAGGGAATAATTTTAAAAAATGAAGGCATTCAAAGAGATGTTATTAAAACAGGCACTAGTACTGCATAACCAAGTTTTAGACATTTTGAAATGTGATTTTCCTAATCAGTTGTTTGCCAGTTGGTAGGGGCTCTCAGGGAGGAGATCTGGGAGAGGAAATTGTGTTATGAACCTGGTGAGTTTGTTTTCAGAGTCAGTTTGGTGCAGTGCTGCAGGCCGGTGAACAGGGGCCGTGTGTGGTCTCAGAAACCGAGGTTTTGTTGTAGGCCATTTACTTCTGAGTTATATTTTTAAAATAGGGTGGGGGAGGGTAGAGAGATTGCTACAGGGTGGCCAACTATAATTTTACTAAATATTAACAAATAACAAAACAAAATCCCACCTGTCTCTTGTTTTTTTTTTTTTCATGAACAAGGGCTATTAACGCCAATAAAAAATAAGAAAGATGTAACTTATAATAAAAGGTAGTCCTTAAAGTGCACTGAATTTAACTCTGATTAATTTATAAGTTTTCCTTACAATTCTCAGTTTGGTGCAGACAAAAAATGTCACCAGTACTTTTAAGCAGCTTTTCATTAGAGGGTTGGCATAAGTGGACAAGTGACTCGGGGGCATTGTAGACTTTGGAACCCTCAGACTGAGGCTGCAGGAGCAGTGCGTGACTGCGCCAACGACAGCTTGCCTCTCAGCTTTGATTTTCTCCCACACAAGTTTGGGTAATAATTCCTGCAGCGCTGTGAGGAGTGGTTGAGGTGGTGCATGTAACGAGCCTGGTAAGAACTGGCCCATAGATACAGAACACAGCCCACTGTGGCACTTGGGTGGTCTAATGGGAGGTGGAAAGTTGGGCTGGGTGTTTAACATGATGCCGATGATGTTTTGGGTAGATATGGAAAGCTCTTTAAAGAAGAGCAAAAGCAGAATTATGTGTGTAATAAGCCCAGATCTGAGTTTCTGACAGCAGCAGGACTTCATGGGGAAACGACAGATTTTAGGGTGGGAGCAGGGGACATACCAGTGAGCCTGTATGCCAGAAAGTAAGGACCTGCTCAAGACAAAACAGAAACAGTCATGGGGGTGTCAGAGGGACCCAGGCCTTCATGGAAAGATCTCCGATGGTCAAAGCTGGAACAGGTTGAGCAATAAGACAGAGTAGTGTTAGGTTATTACCCAAAGTATAAGCTCAGTATTGCAGAGTCCGTGCCAGTAAGCAAGGGAGACAGGACAACTCTCCCAGGCGGAGTCACTCCCGCTCAGCTTTGTAGCTGCTCCATCCAGAAGAGGAGAGCATCCCCCGCGCCGTTAGTGAGGTGCACTGGCTCCTTCCAGAGCCAGTGCGGCCAGCCGACGAGGTCCGTGCCAGGAATCTAGTGGATGGCATGTCCTCTTGATGCAATGCAATGCAAATGGCATTTTACCTTGTAGTCTTCCTTCCCCAAACTCATAAACTCTGTCTCACCATGGTGGAAAAATCAGTAAGTATTTGCAGATTGAAGGAACCTGTGAACTATCCAACCGGTACTCCTGGAATCTGTCAAGGAAGTCTGAGAACACAATCTGGAGGAGCCAGGGAGGTGTGATGACCACGTGTCGCTTGGTATCCTCAGTGGGTCTGGAAGATAAAGGACAGGAGGAGGAAAGGAAGGAACTCTGAATGAACTATGGATTTTAGTTAATAACGTACCAAAAGCACTCTGCTAATGTTAGATGTTAATGGCAGGGAGACTGTGCATGGGGTAGATGGGAACTCTGTACCGTCTTCACAACCGTCCTGTCACTCCAACACTATTCCAAAATAGAAAATTAAAAAAAACAAAATCTGGAAACTAGTGGAGTGGGAGAGAAGCCTTTTATTCTCATTTTATTTTCTTCTGGTAATATTTGAGTTATTTAATTTTGTTTATACATGTATTAATTTTGTTCTGTAGTGGGATTATATGCTTTTATTTTTATGTGTTTTTTAATTGAAATTCTTTATGTTGAAAGTATTGCATATGCCTCCTTTTCCCCCCATTGACTTCTCTCCAGCCACTCCCGCACTCCCAGCACCTGCCCTTACCCCACTTCTGTCTGTGTCCATTGCTTATGTTGCTCATATTCATAAATACAAGTCCTTTGGTTTATCTCTTATCCCTCACCCCCCTTCCCTCTGAGGTTTGATGGTCTGTTCAATGCTTTGTTTTTAAAAGCATATTTTTATTGATTTCGGAGAGGGAGAGAGAGATTGAAACATCAGTGATGAGAGAGAATCATCAATTAACTGCCTCCTGCATGCCCCACACTGGGGATTGAGCCCACAACCTGGGCATGTGTCCTGGTAAGACAGCCATGACCTCCTGGTTCATAGGTCGACACTCAACCCCTGAGTCCTGCCAGCTATTTAAAACTGCATGACAGAACGGTCAGAAACACGCCCGAATGTTTCTAGGTGGTGGCCTTATGAGAGATTGCTTTCTTCTTTATGTGTTTTCTATAATATTTTCCAAATGGGGCCGGGAGGGTTCCAGTATGTGCGAGTGAACTGGATGGTTGTGGCTGCATTCTGGACTTCCTGAGGCCTGCAAAGACTCTGGACAGGCACCTCAGTTTCCAAAAGAGGAGGCAAGCTGTGCACCTCTAAGGCTAGCTGTTTGAAGTTCAGGTTAAAAAGTATTTTAAAAAAACAACAAAAACCAGTGATTTCTGTGCTTACTCTTCAGATAAAAATTTTGATGATGAAGATTCCGTGGATGGTAACAGACCTTCCTCTGCCAGTTCTACATCTTCCAAAGCTCCACCAACCTCACGGAGAAACGCTGGAATGGGGACCACCCGGCGGCTTGGCTCATCCACTCTTGGGTCTAAGTCTTCAGGTAACTCCAGGCCCTGGGGGCGGAGTGCGGTCAGCTGGGCAAGCTTTTAAGCCAGAGGTGCTGGTACTTGCCTTCTGGGTCCTTCAGTAGTGAAGCAGACTCACTCACGGTGTCTCTGCTGGCCATTCTTTAACGTCCATGCTGTCAGTGTGTAGAGTTGGAGGGACAGAATTTGAGATGCTGTGTTGCCACCTTTTGGTAAGCGGAGAGTATATACCAAGGTGAGCGTAGCTGAGAGAGGAAGAGCAAGAGGGCGCTCCAGTGGCATTGGTTGGTTATTGAATGGGCTCTCGCAGAGTCTGAAAGTGTCATTGGGGCCTTCTTGGCCAGTTTTTATCAAGACAGACTATCTTCTGTCTTTAAAATGTATTTGTTTCTCCAGGTAGCATTGTTCCTTGTGAGACCAGTACGGATATTAAATTAAGTAAGTAGTAGGGATTAGTTCCTGGAGGCTTGAAAATTGATTTACAAAGATTTCCTCCCTAAATACTGCCTTTCACCCCCAAGTTCGTACAGTTTGAGTCCTTATTATTTACTTTCATTTTGGTGTCACATTGTGAATTTATATGCAAATTTCCTACTTTTTTACTTACAAAATATGTGGCCACTGCTTTTAGAGCGTGCTCCTGTTAGCTTTGGGCTTTTGAGCTTGCTGATGTGCTGAGTTAAAGCTGAGGCCGGGTTAGTATCCTCACTCCGCATCTGCTTTCGGAACTGGCCCTGGAGTGCTGGAGTCCGGGCCTCTGCCAGCAGCTCTGCATGGAGAGCGTGATTCTCTAACGTTTTTTAGGGGAGTACATTTTAAAATTTTTATTTTTGTTATTGAGCTTAAATTCACATAGCATAAAATTAACCATTTTAAAGATCACAATTCATTGGCATTTAGTATATTCACAGTATTATGCACCTGCCACTTTAGTTCCAAAACAGTGTTCTCACCCCAAAAGGAAACCTCTCACTTTATACGTCACTCCCCATTCCTTCCTCCAGCCCCTGCCCATCACCAGTCTGCATTTTGTCCCTGAGGGTTCACCTATGCTGGCTATTTTGAAGAAATGTGATCTTTGCTCTGGCTTCTTTCAATGAGCATGATTCTGAGATTCATCTACATTGTAGCATGTATCAGTACTTCATTCCTCTTGTGGCCAAACAGCCTTCCTACTTCTTTTTCCTGATCTATTCTTTTTTTTTTCTTTTTTCTTTTTGACTATTTATTTTTAAATCAATCTTTATTGTTCATATTGTTACAAAGGTTCCTCATTTCTTCCCTCCTCCACCAGGTTCCCACTGTAACGCCCAAGTGTCATAAACCCCAAAGACTACCAGGGAGCCGAATCCGATGCAATTGCAGAAAGCCTGTATTTATTTCGGACTAGTCCGAGCTCAGTCCCACTTACACCAGGGAGGGCGTGGCGAGAAAGAGAAAGAACTTAACATATCAATGGGCTATATAGGGAGGGTGGTGCCGCTACCTTGGCTGACCTGATTGGTTGGGTAAGGCCTAGGGTCCAGTTACCGGGAGCTGGACCCGCCCCACCCTGCCTTCTCGCCCCGCCTGCCCTCTCACCCACCCCACCCTCTGCCCTTTCCCCACCCCCATTGTCCTCATCCATAGGTGCACAGTTTATGTTCAGTCTCTTTCCGCATCCACCACTCCCCTTTTCCCAGAGAATTGTCAGTCCACTCCCCTCCCTCATCTCTGATTCTTTTATAATCAACAGTTAATATTGTTCATCAGGTTTTTTAATTTCCTTGTGTTTTTTTTTTTAATTAATAAAATTTTATATTTTTAAGAATAAATTTTAAAATCTAATAATTTGAAACTTTGTTTTTTCTGCCCTGGGAACTGAGAAGCAAACTTGTTTACATGTAAACTTGCCCTTGGGCTATCAAAAGGCATAGCCATTCAAATGTAAATGAACACATTGTTTAAAGATAGCTACTGGCTGGAAATGGATTACCTGTTCTGGGTGGAAAGGGCTTGTCCTCCCCTTTCTCCATTAAAATTAAGGTGTTAGCTTTAAAACCTCTTTTTGGCAAGATACCTTAAACTTTCAGAACTTTAAATTTTTCAGGTAGTAAATCAGTTACTTAGCATTTTCTCAAATCAATAATACCTCCACATGCCCAAGGATACACTTCACACAAAAGACACTTCCCAATAGATCAACCACCCTCATCCAGGCCCCACACAAGGCACTGGCCGCTCCCGGCCTGGCTGCTCTGGGCCTGGCCGCTGCTGCTTGATCTATTCTTGAGTGGTGTCAATTCTACAAATAAGGTTTCAGAAATTTCTGCATGATCAGTCCACTTCATTTCTTTCCCACCCTCACCCAGACATTCCTTCCAAAAGTCTCAGCTGTGTAAACCAGCAGAGACACCAACCCTGTCTTCCCCTTCGGCCCTGACCTCAGCTTTTCCCCATTTGTGTTGTGCATGGCCATGAATTTCCTTGTTGCCTCCTCCTTGTCAGGTCCCTCGTCCTCTTCCCTCTGTGGGCACGTGGTGCAGTGCCTAACGCAGGGAGGCCTCAGGACCTGTCTGCTCAGTGGGGTAGAGTATTAGCACTAGGACTGTTAGCTCAGACTTCGTGATCCCCAAGGACCACCAGGGAGCCGAGTCCGATGCAATAAACAAAAGAGCCTCATCCATGCTAGCGTGGGCTCCTCCCACTCATGCCAGCAGCATGGCGGAAGAGCGAGAATTTCTTCCAGTCCAGGGGTTTTACTCCGGTCGATGGTGATGTCACTGCCTCGGCTAACCCTGATTGGTTGGGTGAGGGCTAGGGATAACTCCGCCCTGCGGGGGGAGTCGGGAGCTCATCCTCGCCCGCCCTGCCCTCTCAGGACGGGCACAGAACACCAGCTCCGTGCATGACTGGCACCTGTCCAGAGTTGGCCTGTAAATGCCGTATGAGTGGTTGTTCACCGGGGGTTGGCACGCATGTACCGCTGCCAGGAGGTGTCCATAAAGCCCTTTTCTATGCGGGTTCCAGCAGAGCACTAGGCACCAGAAAGGTTTCTGGAAAAAGCTCTAGAGAAGCACTCACAGTGATCAGTGTGCATCATTAATGAGGGCCACAAGGAACCTGCAGGCACCAGTTTTGAAATTTTTATTATGAAAACAACAGGTGTAAGAGGTCATAAGATTTTATGTGTGGAGTTCATAGTAGCAAAAAGAAAAACTTGCTCCTAAGTGATAGCAATTAACTTTTAAGTATACAAAGCATCTTACAACAATTTTATTGGGAAAATTTATTACTGATGCATAAATGAAAAATTGGCAATTATCATGAGTTCAAAGGGAATGAAAATGTTTTAAGGCTAATATAAAGTTGAAACGAAACTGTTAAATGCATTAGAATTTATTTTAATTGGTTACGCATTGACCCATGAACCAGGGCGTCATAGTTTGATTCCCAGTCAGGGCACATGCCAGGTTTCAGACTCAATCCCCAATAGGGTGTGTGCAGGAGGCAGCTGATTGATGATTCTCTCTCATCATTGATGATTCTATCATATCTCTCCCTCTTCCTTCTCTAAAATCAATAAAAAACTATTTTTTTTAAAAAAAGTATTGTGTAATCACTTTAAAGAAATGATTACAAATCTACCAAAATATAACTGTTATTGTATTTATTCAGATTCTTCCAATGAACATTATTTACATTTTAAAATAAATTTTTTATAGCGCCAAAAGAAGGAGCTGGCGCTGTTGATGAAGAGGATTTCATTAAAGCTTTTGATGACGTACCTGCAGTGCAGGTGAGTGAGGATGTTTGAGTTCAATTAAAAACGAGAAGAGGCTTACTCTTCAGATTTCACTTTTCAAATATGTGATAAGGGAAGTCAATAATTTTACATATCAAGACTATAGGAAATCTGAGATCTGTAAACCTCAGATTGCAGACTAGAAAATGTTGGAGCCTTTTATAGCTGAAATGAGCAGAAGTCAAGGCCCAGGATGATCTTTCAGTAAGAACTAGAAAGAAGTTGCTGCTTCTAGTAACAAGCTTGTGGGTCAGGGCACATAAAAGAGGGGGGAGGGGAGTGACTAGATTATACAAAGGAACAAAGAAGCATGCTTATTTAGGGATTTTTCTTAGAAAAATTTGTAAATTTGAAGGATTTTGGTGTCTGAGAAGCTATGAAGAATTCTATATAATAAAGAGGTAATATGCAAATTGACCATCATTCCAACACACAAGATGGCCATCCCCATATGGTCAAAGATGGCCACCCCCATGTAGATATAAGATGCTGCCACAAGCTGGCCAGCAGGGCAGGGCAGTTGTTGGCGATCAGACCTGCAGGGGAGAGCAGTTGGAGGCAACCAGGCCATCAGGGGAGGGCAGTTAGGGGCAACCAGGTTGGCAAGGGAGGACAATTAGGGGTCATGGGCCAGCAGGGGAGGGAAGTTGGTGGCAACCAGTCCTTTAGGGGAGGACAGTTAGGGGTGACCAAGCCAGCAGGGGCGGGCAGTTAGGGATAATTGGGTCGACAGTGGAGCAGTTAGGTGTCGATCAGGCTGGCAGGGGAGTGGTTAGGGGGTGATCAGGCTGGTAGGCAAAAGTGGTTAGGGACAATCAGGCAGGCAGGCAGGCGAGCGGTTAGGAGCCAGGAGTCCTGGATTGTGAGAAGGGTCTCAGATTAGAGGGTGCAGGCTGGGCTGAGGGAGACCCCCCTTCTCTGTGCATGAATTTGGTGCACTGGGCCTCTAGTGGTTTAATAAAAGCTTATTTATGCCGTCTTGATGCTTCACTTACGTACCTAACAGATGAAGCAAAGGTATTGATAAAAGTTGGGATAAAGTCATACATTTTAACTGCTTTGAATGTCTTAGTGTTTTTTATTAATGACTGGAGCTAGTAATACTTTTCTTAGCCTACATTGATTAGCCAATGCTCTGGATGACTATAGCATTTTATGTCTATACTAGAGGCCTGGTGCATCGATTCATGCACTGGTGGGCCTCTCAGTCTGGCCTGTGCCCTCTTATAATTCAGGACATCTCACAGGATGTTTGACTGCCGGTTTTGGCCCGATCCCCACAGGGCAGTCTGACGTCCCCTGAGGGATGTAGTAGTGCGCACAGCTGCAGCAGCCGGGGGGGGAGCCCGAGCCTTAGCCTGGGCGGGTGCCACGCTGTGCCACTCCCACTCATCCTTGCTACGGCACTGCTGCTCCGATAATGCTGCTCCGGAGGCAGGAGGGGCTGGTGCCACCACAGCTGCGCTCGCCAGCCATGAGCCTGGCATCTGGTGCCCATCGGTCAGCTGAGTGGTACTCCCACTGTGGGAGTGCACTAACCACCAGGGGGCAGCTCCTGTGTTGAGGTTCTGCCCTCAGGTGGTCAGTACACGTCATAGCGACTGGTTGACCAGTTGTTTGGTCATTGGTTGCTTAGGCTTTCATATCTGTAGATGAATTGCTTAACTGCTGTTTGGTTTCCATATGTGTATAAATTAGATAACAGGCATCTTAGGCTAAGTTTTATCCTTAAACTTTTGACCTTTCTAGCATGTCTCATTCCTGATTGATGATCCTCCTACCTGTCTCATCAGATGTGAGAGTAAATGAAAAAGTAGATTTGAAAGCGATGGACGTGAAATAGGTGTAGTGCAGTGTTATATGTGAAGGACTTGTGCACCACTGACCATTCTCAACAGGTCTTGTGCTTTTTAAATGGAAAGCCATCTGTTAAGTTTACCATAAAGCTGTATTTGAGGCTGGGTAACCCTTATCTGGGCACCAGATCTCGTGGGTACATACTCACAAGGGGGTGAAGCTCACTTTAGGACAGATCTGTCCACATGTTATCTCATAGGCTCTTCTGGAAAATGAAATGATTTATTTTACTAAATACTCTTGACTTCATGTAATTAATAAATCTTTTCTATTTTTTACATTATCTGTGCTTATTGTAAATAAATTTTGCTTACAGATTTATTCCAGCCGAGACCTCGAGGAATCCATAAACAAGATTAGGGAAATATTATCTGATGACAAGCATGATTGGGAGCAAAGAGTAAATGCAGTAAGCCAGTGATTTTATGTGATTACATTTTCACTAGATTCTAAACTCTTAATTATGAAATTGGGATATAGCTCTAATGATTTTAAGGAGTAAATATTTTAAGTAAAAATTACTGCATCAACATTTTACCTTATAGTAAGTACCTCACCTCTATTTTTGAAGCTCGCAAACTTACACCTTTATGTAGATCATATGTTTTTAACAAAGACCTAAATGTGGGAGGTCTGGTGATACCCTCCACTCTCATCGGGGAAAGACACTGTCTGATTGTTGGCCAGCAGAGCTGCGTTTTAGTGGCATTTAGTGTGATCCTCTCCACCTTTCTTCACATTGCATGCTAGAACGTCCTGCTCTGTCTGTTTTTAAAAGTAGATTATTGAAAGCAAATAGCTGAACACTAAAGGGATGGTGTGTCTGATCTGAGGAAAGCTGTTTTTACAGTGGTTACCTGGCAAAAAAAGGGGTGGTAAAAAAAGTATGTATTCTCTTTCAAATTCAGACCAGCTTTTAGTAATGATACTGTGGAGGATACTAAAAGAGACTGTAGGATTGCTACTACCTTTGATTTATTAAATAAATGGCAGTTGGAGTGGGTGTGGGGGAAGGTAAGCTTAGGGGGAAGATCTTTTCACAAGCTAAAATGCAGGTTTTGGTTATTTTATCATTAGGTTAGAAAGTATACAGTAAGATGTTTTCAATTTAAAATGCATTTTGTAGAATTGTATTTATCATACTACATTTTAAAAATTATTTTTCTTATTTTTGAATTGTAGATTTGTTTAGTATATTAGCTAACACTTAATTGGTTGAATTCTTTTTGTAAAACTATTTCTATATCATTTCATTTTGACATTGATCTCATATTTGATGGCTTCTGTTATTGTGTATGTTCTGTTTTAGGAACAGTTTTGTATATCTCCTAATTTTCTCTATCCCATTAGCTAAAAAAGATTAGATCTTTACTTTTGGCTGGTGCTGCTGAATATGATAACTTCTTTCAACATTTGAGACTTTTGGATGGAGCCTTTAAACTATCTGCTAAGGATCTGCGGTCTCAGGTAGTGCGGGAGGCTTGTATCACGTTGGGGTAAGGACTGCAAAGCTCCAGATTCTCATGTCATAACTTCCTGGGCACAGGCTTCGGGGCGGTTCACGGGCTCTGGCCGATGGGTTTTTCTAATGTTACTCCTGACTGGTCTCCAAGACCCATTCCAGTTACTGCTACTGATACTTTTAAGATACTTCTTGCCCAGTTATGTAAAGTATGACAGATTTTAAACTTTATTTTGTGATTTAGCGCTGAAGCAGTTGTTACTAATAATACAGAAAAAGAAATTTATAAACTTGTTTCTCAGCTTTTTCATTGATTTTGCTGACAGGATATAGCATGCTTATAAAAATTTTTATTGTTTCTAGAAGAGTATTATAGCTACAAAATAAAAATTAAAGACATAAAATGTCATTTAGTAAATGTTGATTCTACCTAAACTGAATCTGGACCAATGGTTGGAGCTGGAACTTCTGTGCTAGGAAGGATGTCAGAACATCAGAGGAGCAGCGCCATCCGATGGCATGGCGGCTGTTTAAAAACTTTGGCTGCATTCAGGTGTTGAAGCATGACTACTTTATGTTAAAAATAAAAAGGGTGAAAGAGAAAGAGTGAGGCAACACTTTCCTGTTTATGATTTATTAGTGTGTGATAAATTTGTCTTTTGCTATTTGAATTCTGATTTGTTGAAATGATTTACTTATTTATTTTTAAAGGAACAGTGGGCTGCTGGCTGTTTGCCAAGTCCTCTACATGTACATTGGAAGGATTTGAGACCTTTTTCTAGATAACTTTAAATGTAGGCTTTAAAATGTTAAGTTTTATATGCTTCACTGTTTGCAAGACATATAACTACAGCCCAGTATTCATTTCTTATTTTAGGCATCTGTCATCAGTTCTGGGGAATAAGTTTGATCATGGAGCTGAAGCCATTATGCCAACTATCTTTAATTTAATTCCAAATAGTGCCAAAATTATGGCTACTTCTGGTGTTGTAGCTGTTAGGTTAATCATTCGGGTAAGTCTGTTTTGGGGCCATATATGAGTAAGCAACTGGTAAATATTTGGTGGTTGATAAGCAGTAGTTAGAGGCAATTTTCATGAGGGATTACATATAGTTGAAATCATATCATATGGACAGTATTGGCCTTTCCTCCACTTAATTATAGCACATGAGCCTTTCACATTCCATCATGTGAATTATGGACGTGGTGTAGTTACTGAGGTGTGGACCATGGACTCATCAATGCTTGTAAATATTGGAGCCTCTCCATCTGCTTCAGAGTTTCTATTCTGTTATTTCCATCTCCAAATTATGCTCCCATTCTTTCCTTCCTGATCCCTATTCGTTCCACTCTAGGTATTTCTGTTTGTGATTCTGTTATTCAATTGTAATTGTTATTTACTTAATTGTAGGTAGAAGAGAAACAAAATATTCTCTTTAATTCAGTTTTCTAAAAATTTATGTACATTTAAATAATTATTCAAGTAATTTATATACAAGTTTTCAATAAAATTCAGTTGTTCACAACAGCTTAAAACTAAGGTTCTCCATATCACCGCTGCCGACTCTCAGTTCCTTTTCCCAGAGGCTTGCTGTTAGCCAAAATCTACCCAGAATATTGTGATTATTGTGGGTTACTTACTTTGTATTACTTTTAGTTCTTACTATTTGCACTGAGCCATTATTGGATATCTCTATTAAAACAATATCAAAATGAATTGGTCTGCTGACCCCTTTTGAACTCACGCAGACCTCTACTGCTCAAACAATTTTGATTTTATTCCAACTGGTTGTTTAATTTTAGATTTACTTGCATATCATGTTGGTTTTAGCTCTGTAAATGTTATGGCCTTTGGCAATCTCCAGTGATACTCTTTTATCCTTTTTAAACTTAGTGAAATTATAATCTGAATATACGTATATGTACTTTAGGTAGTTTAGTAAGGAACTGGTTGTCCTAATTTTGTTTTTATATTTTCAAGTGTTCATCTGTTTTTTGTTCTTCTCCACAGCACACACATATCCCTAGGCTAATACCAGTGATAACAAGCAACTGTACCTCCAAGTCTGTTGCAGTTAGAAGGTAAAATTTTAAACAGTTTATTTTTGCATTATTTAAAAACCAAAACAAATTCCAATAGGGAAAAGTTTGTTTGAAATGTTTAATAGTATTTAAGATTGCTGAAATGAATAATATAATGAAGAATTGTGGTCTAAATAGTCAGGAAAGTAAATTTGGATAACCTTATTTGTGCATGCATCATGCAAGAGAGAATGAATGATTGTGTATGTGAGTTAATTGGGGATCGGGTGGGTGGGGAGGCCGAGGATTCCTCTGTACATCTTTTCCTGAGATAATCTCTCTAACTGTATCATTGGTGTAGAAATAGTTTTACAAAAAGAATTCAACCAATTAAGTGTTAGCTAATATACTAAACAAATCTACAATTCAAAAATAAGAATGTATCATACCTATTCTTTGAAGGACGACAGTAACTGTGTATGTGCAAGAAAAAAGTTAGTGTCAGTTATTTAATAGTAACAGGTGGGAGGAGGTGTGTGTTTGCATCTTCTGATGCAAGTAACAGTTCTGGCCCCATCAATTTCTGAGCCACTCCCAGATTGCTGATCTGTATTCAGTCAGAGCAAGTACCGTCAGAATCATGTGTCTTAGTGCTGGGAGAAATGGGGCCCGCCTGGCGTCGCTCTGCCTTTAGAAAGGGATGGAGGGCAGAGAGGGCATGGAACCTGTCCCTACATTCGCTCCCTAGAGCTGCTAAGACATGCATTGCACAACTTCCCTGCTTTTCAGAAGTTTATTGTTAGTTGGAGAGATTGAAAGCAGTAACACAAAGCAGTGTAATAGTGAGCATTCAGCCAAAACTGATTTGGCTCAATGGATAGAGCGTCGGCTTGGGGACTGAAGGGTCCCGGGTTTGAATCCGGTCAAGGGCATGTACCTTGGTTGCGGGCATATCCCCAGTAGGGGGTGTGCAAGAGGCAGCTGATCGGTGACTCTCTCTCCTTGATGTTTCTAACTCTCTTATCTCTCTCCCTTTCTCTCTGTACAAAATCAATAAAATATATTTTTTTAAAAAAAGAGTGAGCATTCAGAGAGAGCAGTGATCAAAACCAGCAGGTAGCATGCTCAAGAAGCTTTATAGGAAGTGGAAAATAGAGCTGTCTTTCTGAATGATGAGTAGATGAAGAAGAGAGACAAGTTCTAACCTGATGTGTTTAATTAACACATTAATTAAATGTGATTAAACAATGCCAGCATTGGTAGACGTCTGTTTTTGCTGTAGGTCTAAAAAGTTGAAAACAAAATCTAATTACAGGTTTATTTTTAATACTTAAGACAAGAATTAATGCTAAAGATGGCTGCTTGCACTAAGGGAGAAATCCTGTGTGTTTCCTATGAGAAAGTTTGCTTGGCAAACCCTCAAACTCTCATGTTGCCACCCTAGGAGTCAGTTGACTCTCTCGTGTGCTTTAGAGCCCCCCATGCTCCAGACACATGGCAGCCCTTTCTTGTCTGTCCAGCTGCCTGGGTTGTGTCTTGGTTACCGTTGTGTCTTGGTTACCGTTGAGGGTAAGGGCATGATATAGACTTATGGAGTGGTTCATCGTATGGATTGGGAAGAGCATGGGAAGGAAGGTTGGGTCATTCGAGAAAGATCACTTTTTGACTTGTTTCCTTGAATGGGTTCCTAAAACCATTAAGATTTCTTCCTGCAAACATGGCTGCCCTGGCCTTCACCCAAAGTAGCGATGCCACCCAAAGGGGAGGAGCCAGGCGTGTTTCCGGGCACAGATCAGATAAGACTTGTCACAGAAGTGAAAAGGCTGACAGAGAAAGGCTGCTGGAAGATTGAGGAGAGGGAAGTGGCTGAGTAGCTAGGAAAAGAAGGATTTTAAGCACTACCTAGAACCTTAACAGGAAAATTTGTCAAACACTTCTTGTTTTTCAGGGTATTTTTTACTTTTTGTGTGTGCAAGGCATTCTGTGAAATTAATGCAAAGACCAGTTCAGTTGCCTGATTCTGTAATGTACGTTGTTCTTTGTGCGTGTTTGCGTCTGGTGTCCACGCGTTATTTGAGGTAGAAGTGAGAACAGTGCGCTCTGGGGGTGAGGTTGCTGGTGGAACGTTTGTATTCTGTCCCTACAGTTAGCTCTGGTTTTCCTTCTGACCACCATAGAGCTTAATTTAAAAATTTTCTTTGACTTTGTTAATTCTGATTCCATCTTTATGTCCCAAGTTTTAAATCATACAAATTAGAAGTCACATCAATTATAAAAAGTAGTGTTGGGCCATTTAAGAAAAAAGCTTTTATTTTCATTAACATACAAATCACTAAGTTACATATTTTTTCTTTACAATTTTCAGACGCTGTTTTGAATTTTTAGATTTACTTTTACAAGAATGGCAGACACATTCACTGGAACGGTGAGCATCTGATTTGCTGTTTTTTCCTCTGAATTGAATCCTGAGATTTAATGACTCAGTGAGTGGTCCACTCTGTCAGAAATGGAGGAATCTCTTTTCTTTCTCTCTCTCTCTCTCTCTCTTCCACTCCCACCCTTCATTCTCTAAAAAAAAAAAAAAAAAGGAGGAATCTAAGCATTTGTTCTCATGACAACATCTGTTATTTCTACTGCTCGGAGGCACATCATAGCCTGGAGCGAATTCACTGAGTGAAGGGTTGGTGTGTCAGAGGTGTGGGCGGGGTGTGCGGTGACAGCCACACAGCCGCCCGTCCTTCGCTGGCCTCCCGGGACTTGGGTTCTGAGCAGCCAGGGTGGATCAGAGAGGCAGCGATTTCTCTTTATTCAGATTGGTATCTGTTAAGTTTCACATCGTCATAACGAAAACTGGGATTATAACAATTTTTGAAGAATAGAAGCCTGCCTCTGAATTTTGAGTCATTTTTTGTTATTTCTGAGTTAAATTTGAAGAAATAAATGCTGACTTTTGTGCCACTCATTTTAATGATATGTCGTATAATTTGTGAAGACCTTCATAGCATATTAAGCTTTTCATTAGAGTGGGATTTTAATAAATTGAGTACTCCTGGGAGGCCCGTGCATGCTGCAGTGTCGGAGCTGAGGCTCCCAGAGGCACATTTTCACCTGGATATACTACTGTGCGTCTAGAGCAGTGGTTCTCAGCCTTCCTAATGCCGCGGCCCTTTAATACAGCTCCTAATGTGGTGGCTCCCAACCATAACATTATTTTCCTTGCTACTTCATAACTGTAATTTGCTACTGTTAATGAATTATAATGTAAATATCTGTGTTTTCCGATGGTCTTAGGCGACCCTGCTAGCGGTTTCGACGTGTGTGTAACTTAGCAAGGTTCACTAAATATTGAATGAATGAAGGAGTGAGGGAAAGACGGTGAATGGGCTGGTAAAATTGCTAACTGGTCTTTGTTCTATGAAACTATTCTTTCCAGCATTTTCCTTTTCTTAAAATTTTGTTAAATGTCAATGAGACAGTTTAATGATTTCTCTTACCTAGAGTAGAACATAACTGAAGAGAATACCTATTTATAAAATGGTTACATAATTTTATAAAATTGTTATGATACATAGTGGAAGTTGAAAAACCATTCTCTTTAAATACAGAAATGTGATGCGGATAACCTCTTTAGTATTATGATTATAATTGTCTCACTACAATTTCCATAGAAAATAGTTCTGACTATGGAAAAATGAGATTTTGTTGCTTTGGTCCAAAAAAGATTGAGCTAAATAAGTATGGCCTGAAAAAAATCAGCTGTAAGTTAAAAAAAAAAAAAATCATGCCAGAGTATAGCCTGCCAGGGTGCCTGGGTGGGGGCGGGGCACTGGGACAGACCCGGGCCCAGGACGCTCTGATGCGGAAGCTGCATTGTGACTGGACTTGGCACAGAGGTTCCAGGTCCCATGTTCCCATTTTGAAGTTATGTCTCAGACCTATTTCCATCTGCGCAGCACGTATGTTAGTGATTGTTGCTTTCTGTTCTAAATGTCTAGGCACATATCAGTATTAGCCGAAACGATAAAGAAGGGAATACATGACGCCGACTCGGAAGCCAGGATAGAAGCCAGGAAGTAAGTGTGTGTTTGTATACCATCTGTTCGTGTACTCGGGTGTTCTCTGCTCCTTCCGTGAGCCTGTTAAAGCCAGGCCAGAGTCCACAGTGACCTCTTTCCCTGTGATCACGTCACAGTGAGTGCAGGTGGTGCTTTGGGGTGGGGTGGGGGTGGAGGTGAACAGTGGCTCAGTATTGGCCCAGTGGCTGCTTGCTGCTGCCCTCAGGTTTGATGCAGTTCCACTCCATTCACACGGCTGTGGCCCCAGACAGTCAGCACTCCCTGGGAGTCATCTCCCCACTGTGACTGACCGTGACCATCAGAAGTTTTGTGCTAACTATCTCCGGGGCACAGGAGTGCGTGCATGAGCACTGCCAGCTTTGTGCCAGTGGCGGTGTTTCTGTGCTTTTGTAGTTGATCAGCTCTTCTCCTTGACACAGGTTAAAACTTATTCTTGCCCTGCAGAAACCGGTTTGGCTCAATGGATAGGGCGTCAGTCTGCGGACTGAAAGGTCCCGGGTTTGATTCCGGTCAGGGGCATGTACCTTGGTTGTGGACACATCCCCAGTGGTGGGTGTGCAAGAGGCAGCTGGTCGATGATTCTCATCGATGTTTCTAACTCTCTATCCCTCTCACTTCCTCTCTGTAAAAAAATCAATGAAATATATATATTTTAAATGTTATTAAAAAGAAACTTATTCTTGCCCTAACTGATTTAGCTCAGTAGAGAGAGAGTTGGCCTGCGGACTAAAGGGTCCTAGGTTTGATTCCAGTCAGGGGCACATATCCAGGTTTCGGGTCGATCCCCAGGTGTGGGGCATACAGGAGGCAGCCAATCAATGATTCTCTCTCATCATTGATGTTTTTCTCTCCCTTCCTCTCTGAAATCAATAAAAATATATTAAAAAACAGCAACAACTCTATCTTTCTTATAAACATGGCGTGTGGCTATTTTACTCAGCTGCACCGATACGTCCTGATCAGTTACCGCCTGCTCGTTCTCTCAGTTAAATTCTGGACCTCTGGTTGCTGAGGGTGTGGAGGACCTCGCTCTGACAGTGCAGTGCTCGCCACCATCTGGGTGGTTCCTGCCAAAGCGCAGTAATTAGTAGCTGGTGAAAACTATTAGGAGGGTATTTGCTAACGACCTACTTATGCTATTTTTATCCTGTATTCTTCCCCTTCCCCAATTCATTCCAGTTCTTTAGTTATCTATCATGCAGGAATGATTTTTAAATAGTTCTGAACACATTTCCATTTTTTTGTACATATTATCTAGGGCAATTTCTAAATATTTTAAATCAGTGAGTGTCAAATTACATTGATTAAAACCACCATTAGCCCTGGCAATGTCATCAAATGGTTAGAGCATCAGCCCGTGTATCAAAGGGTTTCAGGTTCAATTCCTGGTCCAGCGCATGTACCTGGGTTGCAGGTTCGATCCCTAACCCCAGTCTGGGTGCTTGTGGGAGGCAACTGGGTCTCTCACATGCATGTTTCTCTCTCTCTCTCTCTCCATCTTCCCACGCTCCAAAAATCAATGACAAAAAAAATTCCCCAGTGAGGATTAACAAAACAATAAAAACACACAGCCATTTGTGACTCCCTCGGGTTTAGGTATAGTTCTCGATATTTTAGCTCCCTCTCCCTTAAGGCTCCCCAGTGTTCTTACGCGTGAGCCTCTTTAATATCCACATTGTAATGAGGCTGAGGCTCAGAAGAGTTCCTGCCCAGTGTCAGCCTCCTTTGTTCACGGCGTCTTCCATGCACGGGCTCCGGGAGCAGGGAAGCAGGCTCTGGCCCTGGGAAGTGTCCGTAGGCCCGGATGCCGCCCTCACAGTAACAGGAAGTTGTGTTTTCCCAGGTGTTACTGGGGGTTCCACGGCCACTTCAGCAGGGAGGCAGAGCACCTGTACCACACGCTGGAGTCCTCCTACCAGAAGGCCCTGCAGTCCCACCTGAAGAACTCGGACAGCGTCGTGTCCTTGCCGCAGTCGGACCGCTCGTCCTCCAGCTCTCAGGAGAGTCTGAAGTAAGGGGCCTCCGTGTGAGATTCATGTTTGCAGTCTGCTGCTGGAAAACACCGGTTCTGGCTGTGCTTTCACATGTGTGAGCCGCTACAGATCCCCTCGCTTCCGGGGCATCCTGGCGGGGTGAGATGCCGCGGGAGCGGTAAGAAGTAGGTGGCCGTGGCCGTTGCTATTGGTCGATCTTCGTTACATTTATGTGGCGGTTCAGTGTAGAGTGGAGTGATGTAAGTGCCTTCTGAGAGCACGGTGAGTCTGACCCAAGGCCAGGCTGCCCCTGAGCTAAGCGTCCTGCCACCTTTCCTCCGCTCCCGCGTCTGTCCCTAGGGGGGACCTGCTCTCTGTGTTTGCCACATAGTCCAGCTTTGAATGGCAAAGCTCTCTCAGACAGGGAGTTTATAAGGTTGTGGGCCAGCTTGCCTGAGAAATTCTGAAAACTCCGAAATCATTCTTCATTACATAATTTCCAGTTACTGATTGTACTTGTATTAATGCAGGTCAAGTGCATATTTGAAAATAAGCAGGTGTGTACTTTATTTCCAGTCGGCCGCTCTCTGCCAAAAGGAGTTCCACTGGAAGTAGCGCCTCTAGAGGTAAGCTGAGGGGCCAGGCAGCATGGGAGGCTGTGACTCACCTTGGTCAGGGCCACAGGGAAGCTGCCTCAGCCCCAGCCCCAGCCCCTGTCTCGGCCACAGCCCCAGCCCCAGCCCCAGCCCCAGCCCCAGCCCCAGCCCCGGATCCAGCCCCAACCCCTGTCACGGCCACAGCCCCAGCCCCTGTCTTGGCCCCAGCCCCTGCCTCAGCCCCGGCGCCAGCCCCTGCCTCAGCCCCTGCCTCAGCCCCGGCGCCAGCTGGTTTGCAGTGTGCGCGCTGCTCTGTGCTCCGCCGTCCCCAGCAGAGCTCCCCTTCTCCAGGGCCATGAGCTGAGGACGGCTCCTTCAGGCAGAAATGAGCTCTGCCCTTTCCTCACACACGGCCCCCAGCATGTGCGCCTGCCACACCCCGTGCGGCTCCCCCTGTGTCACTGGGTCAGGAGCAAAGGCCGCGGTGCTCAGAGCGGCTGCAGTTCGAGCCTGGGGCGGGCAGGACCGGGCAGGGGCACCCCACGGGGCAGGCCGCTCGGCAAGAGCACACTTTGCCACATTGTGAAGAAACTGGCCAGATGTGAACAGGGTTATTTCACTTTTCATACCAGAAATGTGGTCCATTTGTGGGTGGTATGTAGTCTGTGGTTACAAGAAGACAGATATAACAGTGTGTGGAGTTGTGGTCACTTTCTTTCCTCAGCATGGACTGGGCTCTGTCCTCAGGGACCAGGAGAAAGTGTTGGTCAGTGCTGTGTTCCAACCTTTGCTAAAACTTGATACTTGCTGTAAATACAAGCAAAATTAGTTTAACAGTAGGTGTGTACAGCTCTCGTGTGGTTCTTGCTAATGTTTCTTGCGTTACCACCACAGCTTCGACCGCCAGCACTAAATCTGTGTCGACGACTGGGTCCCTCCAGCGTTCCCGGAGCGACATCGACGTGAACGCCGCGGCCAGCGCCAAGTCCAAGGCCTCCTCGGCGTCCGGCGCCGCGCCCTTCAGCTCCGCGGCGGCCTTGCCTCCGGGCTCATACGCGTCCTTAGGTAACCAGTCTCCACCGCCTCCCGTCTGCTCGTGGCTGGAGTTCCCTCTGCGCAGGCCCACTTAGCTCACTCCAGGAGCAGTCTGAGGAGCTGGCCCCTAGCGGGTTAACAGCTCCCTCTGCGAGCGTCCCCTTTCCTGGCGCATCCTGTGTTAGCGACAAGCAGGTAGCTGGTGCCACATGGTGTGTGGCACTGAGCCGGCCGCCTTCAGCTCTGCTCTGCAGGATGGCGCCCACGTGGCTCCCTCCATAGGCCACAGCTGGCTTCTCTCCCAGCGTGACTTTGGTGGGAACAGAGCGGGCAGGGTCTCGTGAGGAATTCACCAAAGATAGTCCCTGTACTTAGATATTTTCTAGTTTGAAAATGTAATTGGACGGAGTGGGGAAGGCTGGGGGAGGGAGGGGTGACAGCAGGAGGGGTCCTTTAAGGAGTGGGTGGCCTTGTTAGCCAGCATCGCCATCCTGTACAGAGGGTGCTGTCCTCCCCGTCACTGTGGGAAGAGCAGTACTTACTCCTATGACAGCCCAAAGGAGTACAAGAATCACAGTGCTCCACAGAGTGAGTGTCCGATGGAGTGGGCAGTGTCTGAGCGGACCCAACACCTGCTCTCCATAGGCTGATGGCTTGTTTAATTGTATTTTTGTGCAAGTGAAGTCATTTGGAGCCAAAATCTGGGGGCTTAGGTGATGAGCTTGATTTTGGATTTTTTGGAAATGAATAGTTTAAACTTTTTGAAACATGGAGACTGAATTATGTGGTTTACATATTAACTCCCAAATCAGCCCTAAAGTTAATGTTCTAAAAACGCTGTGTATGTGGAAGCATAGTGAGAAGACACCGAGCAGAGATCCTGGGCCTGCCACTCACCCGCTTGGTAACCCGGAGCAGCCACGGAGTCCGAGTCTTCCTGGGCCCTAAGTTAGCTGCAGTCCCAGCACCCAGCTCAGATATGTGACAGGAAGTAAGATATGTGACAGGAAGTCATAGAAAAGAGAAAGAAGCTGCAGCTGTGATAGGAACATCATTAGTTTGAAAGGCACATACGTTCTGTAACGTTCATTAATCCGGTCTTGTCTTCTCTGCGGTGTGGACGGGTAGGTACGTGGATGGACATTAGGTTAGATTTGGAAGAAACCCTCCAGAGCGCTCCTTCCCTACCACGTGACCTGACGTGGAAGCCTCTGTGATGCAGCGTTGACGTGCAGTCACAGCAGGAGGGAGTCAGCTCCCTCTCCTTTCCTGCGGGCAGTGAAGTCACTTTGTCCCGTTAGTTGAGCGTTCGAAGTGCTTATCAGTGTTTTAAGTACATGCAATCCACACCTGAGCATTGGTTTCATTGCTAGAAAATGTGAGCACAGACCACTGAGAGTCCTCAGGAGCCTGTTTCCGCTCACATTGGATACTGTGACATGGACCAGTGACTTCCCTCGCTGCTCGGAAAGCACCCTGGCCTTTTGGTCTGATGATGCAGGATGACCTTTCGGAAGCACTGATAAATTTTCAGCCTAGGGTTCCCTCTTCAAATAATAAGACTGGTGTATCCTCGTTCCTCCCCTTTTCCTGACCATCTCTAACGTGCCTATGTTCAAAACGACAGAAAACAAAGCCACCCTGAAATGCAGCCTAGTCCTCCTGCGGAGTTGCTGCGGTTACCGTTAGGCTGACACGTTACCTCTTTGCAGAGCGTAGCTTTAAAGCTGACGGTCCTTTTCCAAACTTCTAGAGTCCAGACACGTGAGGGACGAGGTGGAGTCCGTAGGCCTTGATTCAGGTACCACGCTGTACAGCTTGGCTGCTGGCGAGTAGTTGGGTAGGCATTGCTAGAGCTAGCTTCTCTGAGCTTCTCTTGCCTCTGCCCGTAGTTGACTCTGTAGTAGTTTAGTTTTTAGCCCCGTGTCCTCCCCAACCCCTTCTGGTACCTGTTCCTTGGAAAAGGAACTCCTCGGAACGTGAGGTTTGGCTAAAAGAAAAACAACAATCACCATCAGCTGAGACCTGCCCGGGGTACCCTTTTTTGTGTTTTCCAAAGGCAAAAAGCACATGATTCTAACTAAACTGACTTCCAATAAGCCTCCGCTTCGCTGTCGAACTTGTTTCCCTTTTAATTTTGTTTTAAGCTGTACTTTTGCTTTTTTAGTAGCTAATAACATTCTGCTTTTTAAGTTTTAAATGTCACTAACTGTTCCCTGTTACCCCTCCCCTTGTTTTTAATTTGCTTAAAGATGGTACTGCCACTAAAGCGGAGGGTAAGCGGTTTGTTTCTGTGACGGAGGTGTGTCTCCCTTCCACGGCCCTCTGTGCTCACGACTGTCTCCTGCCCCGTCACTGAGGTCCCTGCATGAGTCTGCACGCTGCTCCCTCCCCTCGTCATGTCCTCACCGGGTTTCCGCCTCCCTCCCCTGCGCCCGCCTCCCTGTGCGGTGGTTCTCGTGAGTGAGCTCTGTGCTGTGGGTCAGCCCTGGGCACCGGGGAGGAGCGGCGGACGTGGTGTGCTGTGTCCCCAGCTGCCGTCTCGGAGCTTGTGACTCCTGAAGCACTTCCTCACCTTCTGTTTCCTTTTGTGTCCTTCTCGTACTTCGGTGCTTTTGTGGGCCTTTGGGATTTGCTCTCCTGTTTTGAAAATAAATTTGTGTCAATCATTGAGGTTAAAGATGGTTAAAGGTTTTTACCAGGTAATTTATAGAAATTGTTAAAAATGCATTTCTATCTCCAGTGATGTTACACCATGCCATTTTTATTTGTATCACTGAGAGTACCCGTCATTCGTGTGTTTTCATTCATCCACTCCCCGGCATGAGCAAGTGCCTCCTGCGTGCTGTGTCCTCACTACACAAGGACACAGCACGGCGACAAGAGTGCACGTGTCCAGATCCACTTGGTTTGGTTCTGTGCTGTCTCCAGAAGGCCTCCCTGACTTTGCATCAGCCTTTGGATGTTAGACCTACCTAGTCGAGTGTGTGTAGGTCTTTGACTAGCACATGCTAGACAAGATCAACTTTACAAAGTCTTTAGAAAATCATGATAATGATTCAAACAGTTGAAATTTAGATGGTAGCTTAGACACACCAACTCTCAGGATAATGATTTAACAATTAGGGGTGCTAGTTTACTTTCATATATTATTTAGAACTCTAAATGCTAACCTGCAAAGCATACTGGATTTATGTTAATATGTGTAATTCACAGTACTTTATACATATTAATTTCAGAGAGGAAGGGAAGAGAGATAGAAACATCAAGGATGAGAGAGAATCATTGATTTGCTGCCTCCTGCATGCCCATATGGGATTGAGTCCACAAATCAGGCATGTGCCCTGGCTGGGAATTGAACCCTTGTTACCTCCTGCTTTTTAGGTTGATGCTTAAACACTGAGCTACAGGCAGTTCATAGTACTTTTAATCCATATACTACTTCCTAAGATAATCATAGTCCCAAGATCAATGTTCTTAAAATTTCTCATAGACATTATCTAAAAGAATAAAGGTCCCGTCCTTCCCCTGAAAATTCTGATTAAGCAGCAGGTGAATATGAATTTTCAACAAGCCCCCCCACTGGTGATTTGTGGAGTTGGAGAAGTTTGAAATGAAAAGTTGTCAAGAATAAAAAAATGGAAAAACACCTATGTTATAACGAGAACCTCATTTGTGATAGCAGACTGACGCTGGTGCGATTTTCTGTTTTTAGCTGATAGGGGTAATTATTTATTTTCCTTTCCCATAGAAACCATCTTTAAGAGTTTTTCAGCCTAGGTGGAAGGAAAGTGTGGAGAATGGAATACAGTAATTCCAATGAAATGGAAAGTGAAAGACACTGTGTGGGGAATTACATTTTTTTTTCCAGAATAGCCTGATCGATATGCCTGTATCACACGGTTGAAATCAGTCTGTTATTTTAGCCAGCACTGGGATTTCCTCCTTTTTAATCAGTTTTCTTTTTACTAGTCAGAGCAAGTTCAGAAATTTGCCCGTTGATGATGACTGTGCTGACTGACAAGAAGTCTCTCTCTGGTCCTCTTTCCAGTGGGAAGTGGGAGAACATGAGGGCCCTGAATTGTACAGAGTTCAGAATCAGACAGGGCTCCTCAAGGGAGCCCCTGAGCTTGGTGTCCGTGCCCCAGGCTGTGTGGCTGCTGCAGAGCCCACAGCAGAGCCTGAGCCTGAGTGAGGAGGGAGGGACGGACGGGGCTCAGGCAGTCAAGGCTGTCATTCCTCTGTTTGTTGCAGCAGCATGGCTGGGCAATGATGCTTAGGAAAGCTGCAGACAGTTATGAGAAAAGGCAGCAGTAAATATTACCAAGTGTCTTGTCATAACTTTCCATATCTGAGATTGTGGAATCATTATGGGCCTTTTAAAAAATTTATTCTAAAAAACATTTGTTAATCCTCACATAGAAGAGATAGATACTATCATTAGGAGACAGAGATGATTTTGAATCAGTACTTGGATGATCTAAATTTAAAATTCAGACAATACATTTAAATTTTGGCAACTTCATTATGATAGTAATTAAGAAATACACAGACACACACACACACACACACACACACACACACATATATGTATATGTATATGTATATGTATATGTATATGTATATGTATATGTATATATATTCCCCCCCCCCCTTGGGAGGTTATTTATCATACACATCGAGTAGTCTTTCTAACATTTATCACTAGTTAGAAAAATGTTTTTTGTGACGAATCAAAAGCTCAAATTTTGGACAAAAGTTTATTTCTAGGATAGCCTTCAGTGTATTGTGTTCAGTAGTTTGGGGAATTTGGGAAAGGAGGCATTTATGTAGTCTATTATACTGCTTAGGAGAAAGTTTATGATAGATGTTGAACTTGTATGGCAAGTAAATACACTCATCTAATTTTTTGTAGCTAGTATGCTTAGAAAATTTGTTTGTTTATATTTTTTCCTAAAATAAGTAATTTCAAGTGAAGAGTTACCATGTTTGAATGACCTGTGTGGTAACTAATAATTACAGGTAACTTC